ATATATATATATATATATATATATATTTCATTATACCGTAGATAAATTAACGACGATAAATTTTATACCAAAAATTATCATTAAATATTGACAAGAAAAGGGTATTGCTTATCAAAGTTAATCTTAGAAGACAGCTCGGGTAAATGGAACAGTGAAAAGGATTGTTTATTAAAATTTTCATGAAACTTCATTAAGAGTTCATCAATTTTATTGAGAAGTTATGTCGTTCTGATAATTTCTGCAACTTTCTATATTTCCTTACTAAAATTTTTAAGTCCAGCGCTTCATCAAATTTTATCGTTTAATGCTATGCATTAATTAAATATCTCCTCTTTTTTCCTAATTATAATCATTCTTTGTTTTATTAAATAACTATATGGAAAGATTTGTTAAAAATTTAACTAGATACAGATCTGAAAATAACTTTATTGGATCTTTAAAATAATTATGTAGGACATCTAAGCTAAAATATCAAAACCTTTTGCAGCATTGTTCATGAGAGTTCTACATAATGATTGTGATAGTCCAATAAAATTATTTTTAGGTGTGTATCTTGTTGAATTTTTAGATACTTCAGCAAAATCATCCTTTCCTTGTATGAAGTAATCAATAGTTAACAGTGTAAGCTATATTATAAACATGCTGAAATAATGTCGCTATAACACGCAATGTGCCAATGGTTTATAGTCCATGATTGTATATACAAGACAAGAAGAAGAGAGGCAGAAATCTCATGGACGGGCTTACGATGCAAAACCACATGGAGGAAAATAACAAAAAATCCGCATATATCGCGAAAGATCGTGCATAAGGAATTCACGACGCAACGTCGCGGTACGCATTGACGATTATGATGATATCACATTGATCTGGCTGCTTTGCATAATGAGAGGTATCAAGTTGGCGAAAGATAGTCTGAAGAAGAGGGTTAGTAGGGAGGGTATGCCGAGAAACGAGCTTGTACGCACTTGGAACGGAGGAAGACGTAGAGGGAGTCAAAGTAAAGGGAGGCCTTGGTGATAACACATACATGCAAATTTCGTCCTGCGAGAATTCCGATGCGGGAGGCAGAATTCACATCGGATAAGGCTACCGGTTCCCAGGACCAATATCAGTCGAACGGGAAGAGGGTTGCCGATGATCCAGGCAATGTACGGGGAAGGAACCGCAGGAAGAAAATAAACGGGACACGCGGGTTGGGTTTAATCATGATAAGACATCCCACCATCCTTATCGCGATCGGTTACGCATGATAACGAAAATTGTCGCTCTAGCGCGAAACGCGGGACGTGAGTGTGTTCACACACAATGCGAGATATATTCTTAACGGAAGTGTCATTTGATAATTTAAAGTGAACACAAATAAGAACAACTCTCTATTTATATTGCGTTCAGAAACTTCACTGGGTGCACCTATGTGTCGTTTCAGCCTGTTATTTACCGAATGTTAAACAAGGACAATTAAATAAAATGAAGTTTCTGCATGAAGTTTCTGCGAACGTAGCTTTATCAGGCGGGATCGAATGGATTTAATCGCAAACGCGACTGCGATCACTGGTGATTTTTGGCATTCTTTCGTCTCCGCAAGTTCCTTTACAAGTAAGTTCGTTAGCAAAAACCGAAGACAAAAATTTCATTATAGACTAGGATGAGATTGATAGAGATTGACTTATATAAGACGTGCACTCACCTCCTCATGCTCTTTGTGAAACCGCTCTTTCTTTCGTAGCGCCTCTTGAACTTTCAGCTGAAAAATGCAAGGGGATGGAAGCGTTCTTAAGTTTCGTTTAAAAAGGTTTTATCGGCGGTAAAGCGACTTCTTGCGGGAGTAACTTGGAGCATTTCAAGTGAATTCAAGAATCACGATTGTATGAAAGCAAGCGTAGTTTTTACTCAAGAAGTCTAACGGAAACTTATTATATATTATCCATCTTCACTTTTCAATAAAAAAATATTTTAAGAGTTATTTGATATCGAAAAGAATAACAGGCAAGTGAAATGCATAAAATATTAACTTATAACTTAAAATACATTAGTAGCTTTAAGCATCATTTTAAAATATATAAATGAAATATGGTATTTACCCTGTGAATAGTTTCTTCGAAACTATTTGGTTGACCGCCGTTCATCTGTAGATATCTCAGTCGATCGTAATCTCGAGGATCCACCATCGAACGGAGAATCGTGTGTCCCATATCAGGTCCGAGACCTAAACCGCTTTGCAAAACACTGTCAGGTGTGTCTACCTGTAAAAAATAAAGCACAATTGAGATTATTAAGATAAATATAATTATTATAATAATATAATTATCATTAATTAACTGAATATTGTTAAAGAATACATTTACATTAGTAATGTTATATTTTTCTATTTAATCTTACAAAAAAAAAATAAAAGATAGAAATGCAAAATACACAGCGAAAGTCATGTTTTTGAAAAAAAATATAGAATTTAAAACAGAATAAAGTTTATAAACAAAAAGTATTGTATATTAAAAATTTTTATTAATTTGAGAAAGTTGAAATCATATTCCAATGTATTTCTTTTTCATTCTATATATTTCCTTATCTTCTATCCGTTTATCTGTCTTCTCCTCTACGATATAACATCACGCGGAGAAAATTACTTTCACACGGAGAATTCAATTTATGCAAACGTCATAAAATAATGAGAACCATGTAGTCATAGTCGAGACATTGATTACAATTGATCGTTTGTAGAGATTCTCGCAATAGTTTATTGCAATCATGGAAATGCGCCTTCGCGCGGATACATTTTCATACGGAGATGTAACATTCCCTTTCATAGAGCGTCTCCTATTCTATAGAATGTCGAGCTCCTTAAAAGCGGCTGCCATTTATTCTCGCGACGTTCCTCTGCCGCTAATGGGGCTCGTGCATAAGATATTCAGGACGCGGCGAGGGTCGCCATGGAGATCGTCAATTTCTCGTTCTTCAGTCCCGCGGGAAGAGAGTGAAAGAAGAGGAGGAAATACACGACGCCGTGTATTTTGGAAAAACGTAACGCGAGATTCTAATCGTGCGGGCGAAGCGGACGACGTTACAAGCGCTGCGTTAGTCGAATGATTAAGTAGAAGTCTGAGAGTTTCATTCCCGCGGTAACTTGAAGACAAAGCCCTCAAAGTATTTACAAAGGACCACCTCTTCTACAAGATTAGCCTGAGTAGAGAAATTCATCTCTCTTTCCTTACTATTTTAAGCGCCGTCTTCACTGTCGTCATCGTCGTTGTCGTCGACGTCGTCGTCGTCGTTTTCATTGCTGTAACGTCGTCTTACACGAGCCATCACTGTAGAGAGAAACGGTTCACGATGAAAATTATCGCGTTGATGCTCTGTAAATGCGGTCTACAGAAATTATTTCACACAGTGTCTTCAAGACATTGTTATTGAAGTGGTACAGAGATAAGAGAACATTTGTTTATAATACTGATTGTACCGTTGCATTTTATATGGATAGTATATATATTTCCGGTAAAGAAATGTGCTTTCAAAATTGAAATTGCGGAGCATCGAGATGTATAAGGAATAAAATATTATTAAATGCAGAAACAATATTGTTCTGTGTTATCATATAGAATGTCGATACTGAAATCTTTTTCTCAAAGACAACAATTTTTCATCATCTTTTATATTAAAAATTCTTTATTTATGTGTTTCGAATAAGATTCAGATTCTCTTATTCTTTTTCATATTGCATTTCTTAATTCTTCTCTCTTAAAAGATTTAAGTAGCTAAGATTAAGAACTACTCTCATAAAATTCATCAATTTGACAAAGTCTTAAAATGTCTTAAAATGTCAAATTTCTGAACAAGTTACGTAAAGAGGTATTAATATGCTAATATAGATGAACGCTCATAAACTAGAATGCTTCACATATCTCGTTAAAAATTAATGAGTTATCGATTTTTATCGACGATTAATAAAAAAATCGTGATTAAAATATCGTAAATTATGAAACGCTGAAAAAAAGATATAGACCTAGTTTTACTTGCAACAAAACTATGTTAAATATATTTCAACTAGGCAGTTGAATGTTATGCTCTCCATCTATTCTAATTACTATTTAAAGAGCCAATTATTCGATAATACACATCTATTATAATTAGAATAATTTTAATTATATTCTTTTGACATTTTTTTTCAATATACAAAGGAGTTAATACGAGAAGTTAACCTTTTTCCTCTAAGCTTTATCCTTTTATCCTTTTTAGCTCAAGTTTATATCCTTCATCGAATGAAGAAGCGTCCCGTTGTGAACAAATATCGACCCATCTCGCGGTAATCTCGATGCCTAAGGAAGAGAAAAAGCGTGTTCTGCAGACGCAACGTCGGGACGATTACCTTGCGGTATGCGATTTAATTAAACCACGTGGTATTTATGTTAAACGGATTAGAACCGTTTGTTTGCGCTCACAGACTGAGCTTGCTCCACGGTAGCGGCCGTAGTATCCACTAAGCCTGAATAATACCTAGAGACAAGGCTGAGAATTTACGTCGCTCCTCTGTTTACCGGTGCGATGTTGACTTTTTCTTCTGGAGCGGACGGCGAAGCGGAATAACCAAAGAAATTTCAAAACCCCGGAGATGCGTTTTAAACGCATCCCTTATCTGCGAATCTCTCACGAAGTCTCTATGTAATCTTTCGATACGACGATTATCACGGATTATTACCCCTTATGGTATGCCATGGAAGAAGAATAATACAAAGAGATATCTATATATTGTCATATCTCTTTGTATTACAGTTCTTCCCAAACAACACGCATGTCCAGAAATGAAGAGATTAAAAGACGTTTTATGTCTTAATTTCGGATTTTTTGTTTTCTCGGTTAGAATTAAAATACACCGCAATCTAATGTCATTGTACTATCCGCATAATCTATTACGACAATTGATATTTTTATTTCTATTATTTTTACTTGATAATAACAAGATATATTCGTTTATTTATACAATCTATAGAAAGAACAAATTTATTGAAGTACTTATCTAAAAATGTAGATACAGTAGATTTAAAAATAAATAAAATAAAATAATTTTGTTGGATCATCCAAATTTTGTTGGACCATCCAAATAAATTAATTAATTATTGAATTTATGTAACGAGTAAGTAAAAGTATAATGAATTACTTTATAATGAGTAACGAATAATAATATAGAGTTATTTTTCAAAAATAAAGTTTCAATCCCGTCATGAAAAATTGTAACTGTTTCAATATTAAATCATTATTACAAAAGAGTAACATTACAAGTAACGTGTCACTTCCAATTCCTATACAAGTAATTATGTTATGCAAATATTATATTTAAGAAAATTTAGGCATGATAAACAATGCTGCAAGTTTTGACATCAGCAATCAGTTTGAACGTTCTACATAATTACTTTAATAATCCAACAAAATTATTTTCAGATCTGCATTTAGCTAAAATTTTAGATACGTCAGGAAAACCATCCTATCCGTGATAAATTTAAATATTTCAAGATAATCTAAAAGAACATTGAATATCGGGGAAAAATCGTGCAAACTCTCAACTAAACGGATATTAAGTCAATCTGATAAATTCCCATGCTAATCATGCAACGAATGCTCCATATGATAACGAGAATCTTATTGCACTTACATTCTTGCCTCATCGTGAGCTAAGGAGCACGCGGCGGTTTACAGATACAAATAGCAATCGCTCCGAGAAACAATTTTACCCATTCATCTATCGCAGTAAGATCGACATGGTAATACATCTTGTCTGGAAATAAATGTTGCGATTGCGAGTACGCGAACGTGCGTCTTAGTACGCTGCTGATTTCCATCAGTTAGCGTCCGATCTGCGCGACTCTCCCGTTCCTTCCGATCCCCTTCCATAACGACCAATATAGAGCGCGAAAGATTAAGCGATCGTTCTCCTTCACCGTTACGTAAATCACAATAAACCCATCGCAATCCACGCGATCTGGGATAAATGGCGAACGTACGGCGTGTACGGGAAGATCCGTTGGCTGGAACGAAGGATGGTGTCCGAGGGGATGGACCGCTCGCGTGCGATCGAACGCGAAAGGAACGAGGAGCAGTTAGAAGGCGAGAGGAGGAAACGGGGAGAAGTGATGCGGGGGTGGAGAAGGGTCAGAGCGTGTATATTTTTAAGGCTAAGCAGTTAACTGGCCACCTGGGGCGGACTCTCCTTACAAGATCGGTTTATAGCCACTCTCAGTCAGCCGCGCTGTGCCGCCTACCGGTTAATTTATCCCAGCATTGTTATTGCCCCAACGCGGCCCCGGAGAAAGAAAAAGAAAGAAGGAGAGCCGCCGCACTTCGCCGCACCGAGACAGATACGCTGCCACGTAGCCTCGTGACAAACGCAATTAAGCATCTCACGACTTCCTGCACCGAGAGAAACCTGTAATCTGGTCATCTAGCCAACTCCGTAGACTCCTACCGGGGAACGCCCTGCGGCATGGGATCGCCGTAACAGGCCGCTGGCAGTTGCATGGAATGCACCTTCGAGACCTTCGTTTGGCGCAACGACAATGGTCGTTCCCGTCGGATCGAACTGGCGGGACTCATCTGGATCCCTCCCCGTGCGACCCTTATCAAGATCCGAACCGATTTACGAACACGGTCGAGTAACGGCACTGGCGACGTTAAACTGCTGCGATTTGTTTCTCGGTAATAACGCCATTCCGCGAAATATGATAATCGCATTTCAGGTGATAGAGGAACGAACAACCGGATACTTATGGCGGTTTATATGTATGAGGATGCAAATTATCAATTTTATTATTTTTCTTGCAAGAAAGGTATACAAGGAGAGGTATACTATGAGACAGGCGCGCGGTTAAATTTATCTCCTCGAAAAAGTATGCCGTTAATTAGCTTTTGTGTAACTTAATAAAATTTTTGTAAAGACTTCTCTAACTTCGTTAAAAAAGAAACTTTATAAAAAAGAATTGAATTTCTCGCCAAAAGTTTGCAGTCAAGTTTGCACATATGATGTACGCCAGAGATCTATTAATATAGTAATTATAAGTTATAACATGCGAAATGCGATTATACAGCTTGCGATTTCGTGGGTAATATGCAATTTGCTCATCCGTCTGCTTGCCAGTGCTTGCCGGATCCTCTCAGATCGCCGGAGGACACGGTATCCGCGAATAAGGTTACTACTGGATTGAACTACGGAGCTACATGTAGAATATCGTTTCCAAAGTTACGTGTAATGAACATGCAT